TCAACACCTTCAATTTATAGTTCAGGAGTCTGAAGCCCAGTCAGCACAAAAGCAAGACTTCGTTCTGTGTTCCCATCTAGTGTTCTTCTATTGAAGGGGGCAAAATAGGGGTGGTGAGAATAGAGTGAGCACAGGGGTTAAACACACCAGTTATTCCTTCCAGCCCTCCCCTATGTGATTGTGTCTAAGTCAGCAGAGAATGGAGATCCTCATGTAATCCAGGATGGAAAAGCCACGAGGCTCCATTCCTCTCCTGATCCAAGGAAGACAACTCTCCAAGTCCAACTAACTTTAATGCTGCCACCGCAACACAGCCAAAGATAATAAAACTGTATCTCAAATGCCATTTATTTAAATATTATATAAATTTTCAATAATTTGGGATAACCTTTGTCTTTCTCCACCCCTATATATATCCTCCACACTGATTAAATTAACAATATTTTTCTATATTAAAAAAAACATTTAGGAAAATAAATCTAATAAAAACTCATAAATACAGAAAAATAAAATAAAATGATATACAAGCAATTATTACTGCCCGTTATTATTGCCAATAATGCAATCTTATATAGCTCTACCTAATTCATGGAAAAATTTAGAGTCAGCTATATAAATAAGAAATAACAACCCAAATCAGGATGAATTTTACATGTAGTGGAATTTTCCATACCCTCACATCTTATTTTTTTTCTTCTTCTCTTCCTTTAGGTTAAATTAATTCGAAATTACATTAAGAAAAAATGTACTCTGAAATTTTATTCATTCAAATGATTATCTGGGGTTTTGGCACACAAGAAGACCCACCACCTGACTCACCATCAGCTTACAAGGTTTTATTCCCTTTGGGGCAAAAATAATAAAAACTATGATGTGTTCAACTTTCAAATCTCAATGATTTTAATCAGATTTTCTTCCCTATTTTATGTGTTTTACTATTCTCAAAATTAACTCTTACCAAGAAACATTTCTAGACAATCTTAATGATGGATTTGTTACCAAATGCAGGAAGGCCCAAGAAAGGCTTTCTACAGGTCAAGCTTCCAAGACAACCTCTCATTCCTTTCAGTCTGGATTTAATCTAGGACAATATAAACAATATGCATAAATATGCTACAAATAAAGAACTAGTGATGTGAGAAATGAGAAAGCACTAAACGCATCCTACAAGAGGAAGGATTTCCAAAATCATGCCTTCAGGGCATATTCCTAGATCAAACACTTTTGTCTTTAAAGCTTTACTCACAATCAAAAACCTACCACAAACCACCAAAATGTCTATATGAAGAACCACAAAGTGTCAGTTACAAAAAAATAACCAGCTTTATTTATTGATAACAGGTGCTCATTTGAAATGATCCTAACCTGTTCGTGAAATGCAGCAACCGTCGCATCCAGTTTCTTTTGCAAGCACAGCACTTGCTCTTCGTACTTCTTGGTGAGGCCCGTCACAATGCTCTCATGCTGCTCTCGGCTGCGCTGAAGGGATTCCGAATGATGAAGGTCCAACAGCTGCTGCTTCAGGCTTTCCAGAGCCATCTCAGTGGTCCTGGACTTCTTCATCATCTAGTAAATAGACACGAGACACCCATGTTGATGGTATTCTGACTCTGTGCTCTCTTTTTTAAGAACTTTCACTCTAAAAATCAACCGTGCTTCAATGACAGTAAAGAAAAGGTCTCCCCATGGTGGCTCTAGTTCCTGAAGACTTCCGTAGCTGGGACCCACCAGGCCTGTGGTTGCTGCAAACAAGATTCACTGAGACAAGACATCTGTAGTTACCGGAGAAGAATGAAAGAGGATGCTACGAAGCATGAAGGCAATGTGGTCACAGGGTGAGGAACCTGGGGC